TCGCCTTTGACAGCCGCACCTGGACAAGAGGAATTTATTATTCCTCCGAGGGGTGGGCTGGATGCCTCCCCCAGGCGCCTTTCCTGCTATGGCCTGTGACTCAGAGGCCTGCTAGTCCAGACAGGAGGAATTTGTGTGCGCGCATGTGAGCGTGTGTACTGTGCGTGTGACGAGCACCCTGCCACTCACGTGGGAACTCAGACACCACACTGCTCCAGCTGTGTGGCTGGGTGACCACATCTGTGGCTGTGGCCGCTCAGGAAAGCTGGCTTCTTGGGGAAAGAAGTTTCTTTTTCCAAGCCTGCTGTGTGGGCCTGTGAGAAGACACACAATTGCTTTTGTCATTTGTTCTTCCTGTGTGGGGACAAAAGCCCTTTCAGTGGCTGTGGAATGTACTAAAAGTTCTGTGCCCGAGGGCTGTCTGGCCCTGGCCTGGATCCTGCAGGCAGGGATCAGGGGGGAGGTGGCCACTTCTCCTGAGCTTCCACCTGCCCCACAGCCTGCCCTGCACCTGTGGGGACCGCATGGAAGGCACATGTGAAGAGGCAGGTACCACTGCAGACCCTGGTAGTGACTGCAACAACTGGTCCCAATCATGGCTGAGACACAGTGGGCTTGTTGCAGGTGGGCAAGGTGCCAGGCAGGGCTTTGCTGCCTCATCCAACTCTCCCAACTCTGGGGACTGCAGTGGTGTTACCCCATTTTGCAGCTGAGATGACTGGTCTTCAGGGGGAAGCAGCACAGAGACTCCTGAGACAGGGGAGCAGGGCAGTGAAAGGCAGGGGAAGGAAGAAACTCACATGACTCAGGAGCAGAATGACAGGGCCTTGACCGGTAGTGTTTCTGCTTTTTATTTATTTTACTTTTTATGGATTTCTAAGAGGAAGGGAGAGGGAGAGAGAGAGATAGAAACATCGATGATGAGAGAGAATCATTGGTCGGCTGCCTCCTGCATGCCCCCTACTGGGGATTGAGCCCACAACCAGGGCATGTGCCCTTGACCAGAATTGAACCTGGGACCTTTTGGTCTGCATGCTGACACTCTATCCACTAAGCCAAACCAGCTAGGGCGGTCGTGTTTATGCTTTTACCTCAAGTTTAAACAAAACAAAAAATTACAACGATCACGTTGGTGGGGGATAAAAAGAAACCCGCCACCATCAAAACCTAATAGTGGCACAGGAGGCCTTTTCTCATTGCTATTTCATCCCTGGGTGTGCCCACGGCCACACAGCCAGACAACTCCCCACCTCGCCAAGTGTCTGTGGGGCTGTGCTATTTCAGGAGCGTGGTTTGCCCAGGTTGCTGTTGTCGGCATTTTTCCAAGGAGGATGGGGTACTTAGGTGCTGCCATCAGCCAGTGTTGAACTTTGTTCTACTTTCAAAATGTAAATGAGAAAGTGCCAGTGGAAGTGCCCAGGACCAGGTCTGAGCAGTCAGCCCCCAGGGGAGTCCCCAGTGTCAGCTCCCAGGGAGGGAGGGAACGGATTCGTGTGTTCTACAGCCATCTGCATGAGGTCTGTCCAAGGCCATGAAGGCCACGTCTCTGGGGTGGATGGCAAAATCTTACAATTTCCCAAGCAAGGGAGGAAGAAAGGAGAGAGAGAGAAGCAGAGGGAGAAGGGTGTGGGGATCCAACCAGCTTTTATATGTGATCTTGTTTAAACAAGACTCTTATCAAAGAGTAATCCTAAACTTTGGTCTTTCTTATTACCTCAGCTCCCTGGAGAATGGGTTTGTGACTTTCGGGTTCCAGGAAGCAGGATTAAATTGCCTCGTAGAGATAAGAGCCCCAAATAAGCAGATAAGGTTGATAGTGTTGGGGAGGTGGTACATTCTTTAGCTCTGTGGTTCTTACCACTGGACTAAGAATAAAATCAACACAAGACTAGATTAACAGGAGAAAAACCAACTTAGTACGTGCACATGGGAGAATCGCAGCATGATACTCAGATCAGAAAACAAGGCTCAAAGAATGATCAGAGCAGACACCTTTCTATACTTTTTAGACAAAGAAACAACAAAGTTGTGAGAAATTGACTGGACAAAGAAAGGTAGTGCTCATCCGAAAGGAATCTAAGCAAGACCTGGACGCTTGTTAGCGAGGAATCTAAGGGAATTTCGGGCCTGGGTGGTAAATTAGTAAAGGTGGTGCAAGGCTGCTGACACAAGTTTCAACCCTGATTCTTTTAACTCTTGTGATAAGATTGTCTCTCGGCCCTCAGGAGTAGGAGGGCACCTATCACAGGGAGATTTATCTCCTGCTTTCAGGGGACAAAGAGGTCAGGGTTTTCTTCTTGCACACAGGCAGTTTCTTTAGTACCGGTAATTCAAAATAATCAGTATGCATTGTGGGTTACCTTGGGACGGCCTGCCCTGGGCCAGAGCAATAGAAATGGGAGGAGAGGAATTCTCTTGTGTCCCGTGGAGACGTTCTTTGCTCCCCATTATCTAGATCCATGTCTTCTATTGCATAAGGTGGGCACCAAGTCTGAGAGGGAAGCTGACCCCTGGTTATGGAGCAGCATTTGACGGCACAGCCCGGTGCTGCAAGGCAGGGGGGACTGGAAGGATGAGCCATGCTGTGGCAGGGAATGTCCAGTCCTGTGGTGGCTATGCAGGTACAGGGCATTTATTTTGAAATCTCTATTAAGTTGCTATTATGTGCCTAACACTCTGTTAGATGCTCTGGAAAAGACTCCAAGTAGTTGACATATAATTAAATGTGTATTTCCTGACTACCAAGTTCATAGTACTGCATTAGAGAACAGGCAACCATAGCAACACTATAGAGTGTATGGGGTGGGGTGGGGAGTAGTTAGGCTCTGCAATTTAAATGGCGGGGGGATTGAAGCCACACTTGGCTTGATAAGTCACCTCTCTTTGCCTCCGTTTTCTCACCTATAAAATGGGAATACTTTTTCAGCATTGTTATGAGGATTGAGTATATAGTAAGTGCTGACGAGACATTAACCATCATTTATTACTATTATCGTCTAAGATGCTGACCCTTGTCCTTCTGCTGTTTGCAACCCAAAGTTCACAGTAAGTAGACATGTCTTGAAACACGACAGAACTGGACCTGGTTATTGCTGATAAGTGTGCCACAGGTGTCAGAGGACACAGCCACTTCAAGCAGGAACCATTAAAGAAGGCTTCGGGGAGGAGATGAAGAACAGGGCCTTCAGGATTGGGCTGGAATTTAGTATGTGAGGACATGCTAGCTGGGAACAAATGGCACATACAAGGATATGGAGGCAGCAAAAAGCCAGGCCTGTTTGGGGGGTGGGGGGTAGCTTGCTAGGGCTTGGCCTTAGCTAAAGCCCCGTAGGGGTGTCTTGAGAAATAAAGTTGGAGATTTGGTAAATCAGTGTCAGGTGGCAGCCTGTGGAGTTTGAACTTTATTGTGTATGCAACAGAAAGCCATTGGGAGGAATTTGAGAAGGAATTGGGATCTGTTTCTCCTGCCTTTCCTGGGGGTGATTTGTGTTCAAATACTGAGGTGGTGCTGAACTTACCCTCACCAGGTCTGCAGAGACTCTCACCAGCTTCATCTTCTTGCAAACCAGTCGGCTGGAGGGCAGGGCCTGTGAGCAAAAAGGCCCTTTCTCCATTCCTCACACTGTGTACATAAGAAACATCCAAACCTGTAGAGAATTTTTATGAGCTTATTTGAGCCAAACTGACAACATTGCCAGGAAGCAAGATCTCAAATGCTCTGGAGAACGACAGTTTTGCAGTTTGTTTTATACGTTTGGAATTAAGGAGGGAACATAAGGAAGATTACATGAAGGTGGGAGAAAGCAAGGCAGGATTGGATTACAGGATAGTTAACAAGATTATGTGCTCTCTAGAGGGTGGTTATGCTTCTAAGGGGTCTGAAAAAGAGGCACTTCAAAGTGTGTTAACCTAGATGCACAAAAACAATGGACAAGGCTTACTTGAAGCAAAGACACCTTTTTACTAGGGAAGTTATAGGCCTGAGGCATGGCTACCCATCATGACCTGCCCAGTTAGGAATCTATGATCAGATCACTCTGTGAAGTTACTTTTGGTCACTGGACTTGTCTGATTTATTTATTTACTTATTTTTTATATTTTTACTGATTTCAGAGAGAAAGGGAGAAGGTGAGAGAGATAGAAACATCAATGATGAGAGAGAATCATTGATTGGCCACCTCCTGCACTCCCCACATTGGGGATCGAGCCTGCAACCCAGGCATGTGCCCTGGCCGGGAATTGACCTGTGACTTCCTGAGCCATGCCAGCTGGGCTGTCATTTTTATTATAGAGTTTCTTTTTCGTCTACACCACCCTTGGAGCATTCAAGACTAGATGGCAAATTACTTGAGAATAGGGATATGGTTGGGAAGGTTGCTGCAGGTCACCGAATGGAGCTAAAATTGGTATGGAACTACTAGCATGTTGTTCAATATGGGAGCCACTGGCCACTTGTGGCTATCAAGCACTTGAAATGTGGCTACTCTAAACTGAGATGTGCTATAAACATAAAATATACAACAGATGTCAAAGACTTAGCACAAAAAACGGGCAGTATTTTAATATTGTTACATGCTGATACAACAATATGGTGGATGTATTGCGTTAGATAAAATATTACTAAAGTTAATTTCACTTGTTCCTTTTTACTTTGTGTAGCTATTAGAAAATTTAAAATTTACTGGACAGTACTCTAGAGGAATAGGGATTGGGTGATTTATGACCTTGTTAATTACCAGGGCCATAACTATTAGCCATAACTATTCCCTATTAGCCTGGGTGGGGTGCCTGGCTTCTAAAACAGCCAGGCTCATATCTAAATCTTATTTATTGATTGATTTGGGGTGAAAAAGGAGGGGGCGGAGAGGGAGAGAGAAACATTGATTTGTGGTTCCACTTACTGATGCATTCATTGGCTGTTTCTCGTATGAGCCCTGACCAGGTGATTGAACCCACAACCTTGGAATATTGACAGGCTGCTCTAACCCATGGAGCTACCCGGCCAGGCCAGGCTCATATTTAAACCGAATCAAATCAGCATTATGCTCAGGATAAGAAGTTGAGGAAGGAAAGGGTGTATCATTTTTTTGTGTAGAAAGTCTCTAAATTTCTCCAAAAATTGGCTCCAAAATTCCAACTTTCAATTAAGGCTGGAAGATGGCAGGACACAGTGTTGTGGGTCCACTTTGGAAAAGTCGCTCCCCTTGAGAGTAAAGGGAGAAACTTTTAGGATGTAGGGGGTGCTAGGTCACTGTTTCCTGGGCTTCCTGTCAGCAGCTCCCTGGGGGTGCCTGCCTGTGAACACTGCCAGTGCTGGTGAGTCAGGAGCTGGTGGAGAGGCTGGGATCAGCAGGCCTCTGAAAAACGTGCTGTATGTGAAAGAAATATGTCAAGCTATTTAAAAAGATTATCTCAAGGTTTTCTACTTATGCACGATTTTTTTTTTCTTCCTCCTGTGCTTTTCAGGGTTTTAGGGTTTTTCTACAGAGAATAAATAAATAAATTATATATATATATATTTAAGAGTGAAAAGAAAGCAGTGGTAGGTTCTCAGCTGCCATTATGTGGAAGCTGGTCAGGAAGGGGACCCAGAGAAGGTGCTCCAGTCCCCAGGCGTCATGTAAAGCAGATCTTGATAGAGAGAGGTTCTTTGTGTGACGGCTGGAGAGGCCCCATCGACAGCCCACATAGGCAGGCCTGACTGCTGAATATGGATGTAGCGTGAAAGTGAAGGGGATTCAGGAGATGTACAGAACTGGGTTCAAATTCTCAGGGAACACGTTACCGTCTGTGTATCCTTGGCAGGCCTTCTACCATCTCCAACTTCAGCTTTCTTGCCCTGGACTGGTGATACCTTTAAGAATAACAAATGCTGGATAAATGGGAGTTATCATTATAATGGATATTTAGCTTTTTCAAATATTCATTCTAACAGTAATATAATAGGGTAAAAACTTAAATACATCCTAGGCTGCATCCTGGGTATTTTACAAGCCTTTTCTTCCAGACCAAACTAGAAGGGAACAGATTGCGGGAAGCTCATCTCCACGAGGTCATGCAGCTGCACACACACAAGCTCTGTTCCAACGCTGCCTGTGGCATCCCCCATTCCTCACATCAGAGTTTCTGAGGAAAGTCTGTGGTTCTAAAAATTCTAATTAGGAAAAGTCAGAATAATGGTACACATTTTCACAGAGCTCTTATATCAACAAACTGCCTGCCACAAAGGGCAAGAAAACAATATGTCAGCCTCTACACATCCCAGCTGGCGTTAATCAGAGGCTCTATTTGGCTTGATGCCAGGTCTAATTGGTCAGTATTTCACTGCCCAACTCTGGGACAGTCACAATGTGTCGTTTTATTGCTAACTAGTGACCCGTTGCATGGATTCGTGCACATTGAAAGGAAATTAATCAGAAGGTGGCCGGTGGGGTGGTACTGGGCAAGACAGGACAGACACAACCTGGAGCCAACCTCCTGTGGTCCCTCCCAGCTGGCCACACCTGGAGTGGCACCATGGCTCAAAGGGCATCTATGGAGTGAGTGGCATCCCTCCGGCAGGTGGTGTCCCTCAGCCTGGCCTGCGGGGATTGGGCCGAAACCAGCTCTCCAACATCCCCCAAGTGGTCCTGGAGTGAGAGAGGGCACTCTGCAAAGTTGCTGTCATACAGGGTGTGGAACGCAAATGCAAGTGTGCAGTAAACCAGATTCGGGCCAACAGTGCCCCAGCAACAACATAACCCCCAGCCGAAGGTGGAATCATGCGGCCCCACAAGGAATCGGGCTCCCTCCCATAACTCTTTTCATCTTGTAGAACTGAAACTTCATGCCCATTAAAAAATAACTCTCCATTCCCTCTACCCTCTTAGCCCCTGGCAACCACCGTTCCACTTTCTGTCTCTAAGTATCCTATATAATAAAACCCTAATATGCAAATTGATTGAACGGCAGAACAACCGGTTGCTATGATGCACGCTGACCACCAGGGACAGACGCTCAACACAGGAGCTTCTCCCTGGTGGTCAGTGTGCTCCCACAAGGGGAGCATCACTCAGCCAGAAGCCGGGCTCATGGCTGGAGAGTGCAGCAGCAGTGGTGGGAGCCTCTCCCATCTCTGCTGCAGGTAGGTGGTAAGGAGCAAGGGGTCCCGGACTGCGAGAAGGATGTTTGACTGCTGGCTTAGGCCTACTCCCTGGCAGGCAAGCATCCCCCAAGGGGTCCCTGACTGCAAGAGGGTGCAGGCTGGGCTGAGGGATCCCCCCCACACCCAGTGCACAGTGCACTGGGCCCAAGTCTCATATAAGTGGAATCATACAGGATTTATTTATTTTTGTGTGTGATTGGCATATCCCACTTAGCATAATGTCTTCAAAGTTCATCCATATTGTAGCATATGGAAGAATTTTCTTCCATTTTTTTTTTCTTAGCGTTTCCTTCCTTTTTAAGACTAGATAATATTTTATTTTATGGATATACCACATTTTGCTTATCTATTCATTGGTCAATGCACACTTGGGTTCCATCCATGTTTTAGCTATTGTAAATAATGCTGCTCTGAACATGGGTGTACAAATATCTCTTCAAGACTCTGCTGTTAGTTCTTTTGGGTGTATACTCAGTTGTGGAATTGCTGGATCATATGGAGTTCTAATATTAATTTTGGGGGGAACCTCCATACTGTTTTCCATAGCAGCTCTACCATTTTATATTCCCAGTGGTGCACAAGGGTTTTAATTTCTACACATTCTTACAAACACTTGTTATTTTAACAACAACATCACCCAAATGGCTGTGAAGGTCAATGTTAATATTAAATCGTTCAGAGCTTTCCATGTGTTTTTGTTTAATATCTTTGTTTTAGGTGTTTCATCTCCACTCAGACGTCAGGCCACCCTTGGCTCCTGCATTTTATCTGTTCTTCCTTCTTTAGCAGCATTCTCCAGGTTGAAGTAGGGGCTGGTGAATAAGGACACCACCCAAATTGGACCACGGAGTCTAATAGGACAATGAATTCCCTATTGCTTGCAGGTCACCATCATAGGGTCATGAGCGTGGGAGCCTGGATGGTGTAAAGAACCTGCCGGCCCTAAGAAAAATCACACACGGATCACCCACACTAACACAATGCCTTAACCCCATAGTTCTCTACCTGTGAGCAATATTGTCCCCGAGGGGACATTTGGCAATGTGTGAAGACATTTTTGTATGTGTCACAGCTGAGTGAAGGGGACAGCTGTGGGGGGGAGGTTCTACTGGCATCCAGTGGGTAGAAATAAGGGATGCTACAATGCACAGGAGGTTCCCATCACCCCATGCCCTCACACACACAGAAAGAACAATTTGGCCTAAAGTGTCAATAGTGTCCAGGTTGAGGACCCTGGGTTAAGCTGACTCAGCAATCAATGCCCTCTATTATGTGCTCTTAACCCTCATGTCCAACTATTGGTCCCCAACATGCAGTCCTGCTCCCGTCAGGTAAGTCCTGTCCCTACTCCTAAATCTGCCTTTCTTAGTTCTGATCTCTGTGCCTTCATCCATGTGATTCCCTTTGCTTGGAATGCTCTCATATGCACCTATCGGAACTCTGCCTTCTATTCAAAACTCAAGCAGCGCCTCTTCTGTAAATTTGTCTTCAACTACCCTAGTCACAGTAACCTCTCTGACCTTCCTCTGAAGCAGCTATTTCTCCCTTGCAATGCCAGGTAGAGTGGCCATTATATGGTATCTGGAGTGTAAGCCCCTTGAGGGCAGGAACTGGGCTTAATGTAGATACCTGTGTATCTCCTCCATAGTGTTTAAAGATCTCTGTACATAGTTGAATGACCACTCACTATATTGTCTGGTTTTCCTTGCTGTTCCATTGAGAGTTGTCCCTATTCTAAGAGAAAAAGTATTAAAAGGTAGAAAACTTGGTTGGCTGAGGCTTGGGGAAACTGATGGAATAGGATTTGATCTGCGTAGCCTAGAGAAGGGAATTTTATAAACGTGCAGCTCTTTAGATTAGATAAACAGCTACCAGTCAATCCTTTATATAAAAAGATCGCGATGACATATATGGGTAAATGAATAGTGTAACAGTGTTTGCTGAACTGTGTGCAAGCCCAGCAGCAAAGCAGCAGGACCCAGACTGACATTCTTCTTCATTTCCCCAGTGTGGGGACAACTTTTTATATACATCTATATATAAATTTATTGATTTCAAAGAGGAAGGGAGAGGGAGATAGAAACAACATCAATAGTGAGAGAGAATCATTGATTGGCTGCCTCTTGCACACCCCCCGCTGGGTATCAAGCCCACAACCTGGGCATGTGCCCTGACTGGGAATGGAACTGTGACCTCCTGGTTCATAGGTCGATGCTCAACTGCTGAGTCATGCCGGCTGGGCTCCAAGACAACAGCTCTATCAGTCTGGAGGAGTGGCCCAGGCCAAGCTCTATGACCCTATGATATTCCATGTTTCCTTTGTATTGTGCTGTTTGTGCTGAGAAAGCTGTGCGTGCGTGTTGGAGGTGGGGAGGGTGGTGTAAATGAGGATATAGGACCTACCTTGTCATAGTTGTAGTGAGGATTAATAATGCAAATTTGCTGGCATAGCATGGTATTTTAGTAAGCTTACAATAAATGTTATTTTTCTCTTCTTCACTTTCCTTCTCAGCCAACAATGATATAATAATATCAGTATTAATACAACAATAACAATATTATAATACTTTGTATTTTTCATATTCATTTGAGTTTCATCAGTCTCTGTAAAGTAGCTGAAGTTGGGATTTTTAATTCCATTTGTCAGATAGAGACAACTCCACGGTCAGAGTTGCACTGAAGTAATAGAAATAATATGGTTACAATTGTATACAGGTCCTATCTGCAAACCTAAAAATGGGTTGTTTTCCTGTAAGCCAGCCTCCCTTACCTACAATTTTTTCCTTCCTTCTTTCCTCCCTCCCTTCCTTCCTCCCTTCCTTCCTTCCTTCCTTCCAATTTACAGGTGGGTGGCAAGAAACATTTTGTTCCTATACATTCTCTCTTTAGGCAATTTCATGCACACACTGGTCTATAATTACCATCTATACATAGATGACTCATACACAGATCTTTAGAGCTCTCCTCTGAGTTCCAAACTGGTACATCCAGCTAGTTGCCTATTCATCATCAACTCTTGAAGTTCTCAAATGCACCCCATATTCAACAAAAGCAAATCTAATCCTGTAGTTTTTAGTCTTAAAACCCTTCAATTTTTCCCATTGTTCTAAGAAAATGGATGACACTAAATAGCCTACTGTGTTGTGCGTCATCTGGCCCTTGCTACCTCTCTGACATCACCTTGCCCCATCCCCTTGTGGGGACCCACTTAGAACTCCAGATTTAGCATGAAGATTATTTTAAACTGAAGACATTTGGGATTCAACAGATGCAGAAAAAAAAAGCCTTCTTGGAGCGTCCCTTATCTGACTAAAAGAAGAATCTTCTGGGAAATGAGGCTGCCAGAATTCCATCTTCAGGGTGGATTTTATTCCTGAAGGAGAACAACAGTAAATCAGCCATCACCCCTTCTCTGGGGAATTTTATGACCATGAAGAAGTCAGAAAGATCACTTGCATCTGCTTGAACAAGCATTATCAACAACTTTCTTATCCACCACTTGTTCTTCTAGAAACTTCTTTGTCTTTTCTAAAGTAGTCCATTTGTTCTTACCATAGTGGCCCAATTGACTCAAACCATTTATTGATTTACTTCTTTTGTAGCTCGATATATATTCATGCATATACCAGTAAAGATTTTTTCTCCTGTTAGTTTAATTCACAGGCCTCCAGCACTGAACCTAAGAGGGTAAACGTTTTTCCTCTCTGACACCTTTGTGATCTTTAGGCTCCCTTACTCTGGCTTCATAATTCCTCCTTCTACAGACCTCTGCCCATGCTCTTTCCTTCTCCAGGAATGCTTTTCCCTTCCCTTGGTACCTATTATCTACTCCTCATTTTCAGAATTCAGTTCAAGCAGCACCTCTGAAAGGAAGTCTTCTCTGACTTTCCAATTTTAGGCTGTCAGGGCATCCTGTACTTTTCCTTTGTAGCACTTGTTACAGTTGCAATGAAAATTTGTATGATTATTTGAGTGATGTCCTCCCCCAGTGTAAGCTTCTTGGTGGTAGGGGTTCTGTCTATTTTTGTTCACCATTATATTCTAAGTTCTTAGCACAAAGTAGGCACTGAAGAAAAACAAATGACTGAGTCAATGTCTGACTAAATGGTAGAGAAGAAACTGTACATGTGACAGACTAGAACCACTCCCTTAGGATCCTTCTTTCAAACCAAAGACATGTGGAGCCCCTACATTACAAGTCTTTGAAGGTTAGTCATATACCTGGGGCAAAACAATCTCAAAACAGCTAATGCTAGTGTGGGAAAAGTGGATACTCTGTCGTGGCAGCTGTCCTGGTCATGGATTAAATGACAGTTTATTTGAGAAAGGTTGACCCAGAAAACCATCCTGCAACATGCAACATGCATGAGAGAACCAGATCCAATCTAAAAATAGCTCCGTCACTGGAATTGGAAGCACTGCAGAGAGAACTCAGCTTCTCTCCTGGCAACTTTTACCCTTATGAAGCCTTTTACCCTTTTATTGACCTACATAATCCTAGGACGGTAGTGCTAGGTTACTGCTTTCATTTTAAAATGAGAAAACCAGGACCAGAGAGAGGCTTAGCGACTTCTCCCATGTCGCCCAGTTAGTTGCTTGTAGAATCAGGGCTCAAACAGGGACTTCTGCTTCTCCTCCATAGTGATGTGTGGGTCTGACACTTCTAGGTTTTAGGCATCTTGGAGGCTGAAGACCCTATAAGATTTATGTCCTTGTGGGTCACCCTGATGGGAGGCAGGAGAGCTGGGTTTATTTCCCAACTCGGTGGTTCACTGTCAAAAGTTTGGGTAGGGGTATCCGAGTAACACCTCTCAAGATCCAGGCGAAGGACACCGAGAATGGAGAATGGATGCCTGCAGTGTGGAGGACGGCGGCTTGGATTCTGGGAGTGGTCTCAGCCCTGCCACCTGATGGCTATCCCTTGAGCAACACATTTGTCTCTCTAAACATTTGCTAGATGGATTCATAACACTGGCCTCAGGCTGTTGGGAGACTCAAATAAGTAAAAGACCTTTAGCACAATGTCTGGCATCTGGTGGTCAATAGATGGGGGTTTTGTTCATTTCCATTCCAATTCAAACTCATAAACATCTGTGGGAAGTGTGCTTTCAAGGCAAAGCAGTCGAGAGCAGAGTGATTACTGGGGAGGGGAATGCTCAGGTCTCCTTCCAAAGGACGCGTTCTTTGCTTAGGTATGTTAATATGTTTAACCAGGCTGTAGTCACGTGCTGTTGGCCAGCAGAGCCTTTTTCAGTGACTTTGCATATCTGCTCTCGATCCAGTAATCGTAAGGTTTACAGTTCACTGCTGGAGCAATCTTAGTTCCTTCATTCCCAAATTCTCAAGTAATTTACCTCTGTCACACTCAATCACTGACAGAGTACTCGTGATTGTTAACAGCTTTGGAGGCCCTGACTATAAGGAGAGGGAAGGAGTCCTTTTTTTTAAGCCTCTGTGACTTTGGCAGAAACATATTTTGAGTTGGAATGAAAAATATTTTGGGTTCCTGAAATCCCTTGTCTGCCTAAAAGCAGAGCCTCAAAAAAAAACCCAATGGTCATAAATCCCCTTCCCAGGGGTAACTCTAATCTTCCAAGAGAAGTTAACACCAAGTCCAGACATTGTCACAAAACTATCATATCTCCCATTCATTCTCTTAGGGCCCAGCCCACTTATCTTTCCCATACCTTGCCCTTCTCCCTCTTCCTTTCCCTCTCCCCTTCATGTCTTACGATGGTATCTAAGCCACAGCTTCTAATCACCCCTTTGGATCATATTTCTTCGTGAACTCCCATACATACATAATTAAAACCCATCTTTTCTCCTGCGAATCTATCTTGTCAGTTTAATTTGCAGGCGCCCAAACTTTGAACCTAAAAGGGGTGAGGGAAACCGTTTCCTTCCTGACAAGATCATGGTGCCATCATGCCGTTCTAAGAAACAAAACACACTGTTAAAGAACAAAAATGGAACCCAGTACAGTTAAAGGTCTAATTGGCTTTATTGAACGATTTATGAACCTAGTAAATAGGAAGGTGCTCTAGGAGCTGACCCAGTGGGAGGCTGTTATAGGTGGAAACAGGGTGGGACAGGACAGTTAAAAGTGGACTATTGCCCTAACCGGTTTGGCTCAGTGGATAGAGCATCGGCCTGAGGACTGAGGGGTCCCAGGTTCGATTCCAGTCAAGGGCATGTACATTAGTTGTGGGCACATCCCCAGTGGGGGGTGTGCAGGAGGCAGCTGATCAATGTTTCTCTCTCATCGATGTTTCTAACTCTCTCCCTCTCCCTTCCTCTCTGTAAAAAAATCAATAAAATATATTTTAAAAAAAGTGGACTATTGCAGGGGAGCTCACCTTCCCCCAGGGAGAGGCAGGGCGTTTTATCAGGCAGATGACCGGGAAATTCCAGCCTGATTGGTTGGAAAGACCACTCCTGGGAGAGGCTGAGACAGTTAGGTTAGCTATTGTGGACGAAAAAGGGGCCACACACGAAGCCTGACAAGCTCTGGGGAGGCTTTGTGGCAGTCTTACAAACTCAGAGACTGAGAGTTACCGCAGAGGATGGTCTGAAATGAAAACTTTCTAACTAAAAGCAGGTCATGGCAAGTAGTCATGTCCTAGGCCAGTATCTTCCCTGACAAAGATACCTTTACCTTAACTGAGCCCGTCTATTGCCTTTTTGCATTTAGAATAACGTACAGTATCTGTATCTTTGGAATGTCAGGGTAATTTCCTTTCTTGTTTTCTGGACCTCAAATCTCCTCATTGCTACTGTTATCTTGTTAATTGTTGTCTATTAACTATCCTATACCCACCTATGCAAAATAAGTATTTGTCTATTTGTTTTACTTTTTATCCAATTCCAGAGATTTTCCCATTTTGCTTTCTCCTGCCTCCATACTCTATCACTGATGAATTGCATGTAACCCCCTTGTGTCTTCAGCATTGATTCTGAGGTATAAAATAAGTGGTAAAACTGCCATTTTCCAGAGCATTTTCTCAATCTGTTGAGATTTTGCTTCCTGGCAATGTCATTAGTTTGCTTCAAATAAACTCATAAAAATTCTCTAAAGGTTTGACCGTTTCTTATGCTGACAGTGTTGTCTTGGCGGGGCTTACCACAAGTGACTCCATTTTGGGTCTGTAGTTTCTTTTTAACAACATAAAATAAATAGAAGAAAGCATGAGTTTCCTATTGTGACTCTTTGGTACTTTTGTGTGTGTCTTTTTCTTTCCATCAAACATTAAGTTATTTCAAAAGCATTTTCTCTGTTGCCCTGCATTAGGCCTAAATACACCTGTCCATTGGCAATCCAGCCCTGGGCATTGTTAGTCCTAATTTTAGGAGTTGAGGGTAAGTAGTTGCTAAGGAGTGAAGATAAAGTTGCAGACTGTCAAATGAGGTGAAGCCTCTTCCTACACAGCATTAGTGAACCCTTCAGTATTTCCAGTTCTTCGAGGGCACTGAGATAATAGACATCTTCCAGCATAAAGCTTTGGGCACGTGTTGCTCCAAATACTTCTGAAAAACAGGCTTTAGAAATGGAATGTTGAACTCGAAGCCTATAATCACTTTTAGCATGTGACTGTTTTAAAGTTATCTGGTAATCATTTCTCATTTCTTAGGAACCAGAAAGTCTAGCACTCGAAGTTGCTTTTACTTATGGTACCTGCTCCTCCTTCCCAGAAAGGATCTGTTCTGGGAAAATGATGCAGAGCTTGGGGACAAGGCAGAGATGTTTGTGTGATCTTTAAAATCATACGAGAACACGTCCTAATAGGCCCACTGAGGTTTAGCTGACTTTCTGAAGAAATACACTTTATTTAACAATTGATTATTATTATAATTTTAATAATTTCACAGTTTTGGGAGGCCCTACTTCCTCACAAGGACTCCCTAAGGTAGAAGGCAGCCCCTAGATCAAGAACCTCACATAAAATATAGTTTTGAGATCCTTTGAGTCTCCTGGCCTTCCTGTTTCCAGGTTACTTCATCCAATCAGTGAGCTTTTGCCAAGCTCTGGCAGATATGGCTCATTTTTAGAGGTCTCATGCACCAAAGTCTGATAGTCATATTATCTATCTGTTGTGGTTACGATGCCTCTGTCTTTCAAATATTTGAAATTGGAAATGTGGTTCTCCAAGTCATGTCTGTCTGCCTGTTGGAAACTGGTAGGACCTAGTTATTGTTTTTCAGAAGAAAGTTTAAAAGGCTCAGTCTGGGCCTCAGAAGCACTGGCCAGAGAAAAGCCTGGTGGATGAGGTTGAGGGGTTGAATGCCTATCTTACAGCTTAAAGGCCAGAAGCCTGGGTAGGGAGGAGACTGTAGTGCCATCGCATGGGCTGGGAAGTCTGTGAAGGTTAGAGGCCTGGGCTTACAGGCTTCTGTCAATATCTCTTTGTTTAAGGACGCTCCCCAGAGTGGGTGGGGAGAAAGTGGTGGCCCACAGCTTTCTGTCTGTCCGGTTCTGCACTCTCTGAGTTTACTTGAAGAGGTTTAACTTTGTTTTTTTGCTTTTCCTGTAGGCATATGTATCAGTGTCAATATTTGCATTTGATTCATGGCTGAAGTCTGAGCACTGAAGCTTGGGGTTCTTATCTGTACATCTGTAAATGAGAACAACCTTTGCCCCTCCTTACAAAGGAAAAATAATTGGCCACTTATGACGATCTGTGTATAATGATAGCCCTTTATATCTGTGGTTAACTTCATTGGGGGAAGCTTGGTTAACAGATTGTAGGAATCTGTCATTTGTACTTATTATAGGGATCTCAAGAGAAAGGAAAGAAATGTAAATAGATATTAAGTTAACAATTAGCAGTCTGTTCTAAAAACGTAAGCAGAGTTTGTCTTAATCGGGTATGGTAAGACACCCAGACATGAAAATGATGATCATGAGAAGTTTGTACTCACAGAGCTCTGGAAACAGGAGGCAGGGCATGCCTCTCGGCCAAAGGGGGAGCACCGGGGTTAGCCAGGAGACAGAAGGGAGCATGGCCCAGAGCCGTTACTGGGGTTTTACTAGAAGGAATGGGTGAGGCAGGGCAAGCTTAGGATTGGATGGTTTGAATAATTTTGGTGGGCTCTGGGTTATAGAGACAGTCTTTAGTTGTCTGGTACCTGGCTCTGGGGTGATTTGGGGCAGGGGAAATATTGGCATGAGGTGTGAGAGTTTGATAAAAGAGAGGGTCAGAGTATGGGCTCTGGATTGGTTGGCTTGTATATCAAAGGTTTGCTTGCAAAGGGGTGTTTGATCTCTAGGAATTAGCTAGCCCTGGGAAGCGCAGTCTATCCAGGACCAAGGCTTCAAATGTCCAAACATTTTTAATTTTATTTTTTGGTTAATCTTCCCCTGAGGACATTTTTTCCCTAGTGATTTCTATAGAGTAGAGGGGAGGGAGGGGGGAGAGAGAGAGAAACATTGATGTGAGAAAGACACATTGATTGGTTGCCTCCCAATATTGATCTTGGAGTTTTTAGTTTTCTGTTGTGTAATTTGCTCAGATAATAGAAATGCTTTATGTCAACTGAATAGTCTTCCTTGAGAGCCTGTTATTTTTTGGTGCTATTGAAACAAACACACAAAGTTCTTCACTTCTGAAAGAGCGATATTGCCAGATGATGGTGGTGGTGGTGGTGGTGATGGTGGTGGTGGTATGATACCTTCTGCTCTGCTTATTTAAAAATATTTCATTGTTCAAGAAAAATGTCCAACCACTCTAAGTTTTGCCTTTCATATTATCCAAGATTTTAAAAATTGTTATACACAGTTTTGTAAAGCTACAATAACAGACATTTATATACATAATTTCGTGGAAGGGCAGGGGTGAGAGATATTTTAATATATTTATGTGATAGAATAATGTACATCTATTATTAAAAATTTGAAAGAATATTTGATGTCATAGGGAAATGCTCATGTATCAATAAGTTAAAAAGCAGATTACAAAACAGTATCTCTAGTGTAATTCAATATTTAAAAAAACATAGGTGGATTATAGACATTCATATCATAGTTTGGACATAGGTGATTGCAGGTGGTTTTAAAATATTATTTGTGGTTTCTGTATTTTTCAAATTTTCTACAATGTCTATGATGTAGTGTTTTATTTCAGATTAGAAAAATAAAACAAAATAAAAAAGGGGAAAAAATTGCATCATTACTCTTGTTAGCCGAGAGCCAAGCTCCAACTACTCCTTGTTCTCGAGCACCTGTGCTTTTGTCTGGAGCGAGTGTTCAGTCTCCTCTGAAACTCTTTTGATGTTTCCTTCCCCTAAAATTCTGAAGAAAGCTCGCAAGTTATTATTTTTTTGCACTTGAATCTTATTTGGCACTTCCTAGATGGTTTGGTAGTCCCCCAAATTCTATTCCCTTCCTTTATAAAAGGAAAGATGCTGAAAACAACTGGGTATGGCCCTAGCTGGTTTGACTCAGTGGCTAGAGCGTCAGCCTGTGGACTGAAGGGTCCTAGGTTCGATTCTGGTCAAGGGCATGTGTCCAGGTTGTGCAGTAGGCAGCCAATCAATGATGCTCTCTCATCATTGATGTTTCTATCTCTCGCTCTCTCTCCCTTCCTCTCTAATATATATATCCTATCTAATAAAAGAGAAACATGGTAATTAGCTGTACCTCCGCTACCCTTCCCATTGGCTAATCAGGGTGATATGCAAATTAACTGCCAACCAAGATGGCAGCCGGCAGCCAAGCAGCTTGAAGCGAACAGGGAGCTTGCTTGCTTCAG